GGTCAGGAGAGGTCTGCCTCGCCATGTGGTCACCTCCGGGGCAGGCGGGGATCGAACTCATGCGGAAGTGGCTTTAGTTTCTTAGTGCTGTGCTTTAACCCGCTGCGCCACCAGGGAGGGCCCCCTGTAGCTTATTCTTAAGGAAATTTATGAAAGAAGGGAAGGATTTGAGAAAGAAGTACTTAAGGAGTATATATGGAACACTGGTAATGTGTTGTAAATCCCAAAAACTGACTGCTTTCATTGTTTTGGAAGAACTGGTAAATAGAACTACTAATAAATATGTAGTTTATAATCAAGACCTGTTTAGCTGGTTATCTGGAGAGGTTGGCATGGCAGTTGTTTTCATCTCTGTCATGTGTAATAGCTCTCTGGAGTCTTATTACAACAGCAAGAAAAATAGCTGAGGAAAAAATGCTGAAGATGGTTAAAGAGAGTTGAGTTATATGTGATAGGAAAGTGCCATCATCAGTAATGAATATGTTTGGAACATTCTGCTGGGTGCAGGCCACTCTGAAGCATGGCTTCTTTAAATGTGACCTGAACCCTGGCTCAGGCAGGGCTCTTTGACATGTCAACCTGAAAAATTGGACATTGCTAAGGACCTGGAGAAAATCATATTTCTGGAGTGAAGTATGCACCTCCAGTCTGTGAGAAGCCCCAGAAGAATTAATATAGAAGGCAAGGACAAGCTTGTGGGCATAATTTATTTGGACTTTGCAGTTTTTGCTATAAATCATTCACTAGAAACCATTAAGGAAACCTGGTGACATGGAACAGGAAGTTTTCTGACAGGAATATGAGGAATTTTGTATGACGATAGGAAAATGAAAACCTGTTGAAGTTCTATGCAAACTACTTTGAGAGGGTATGTGCTAGTGAGAATAGTTTTCCAGCTGCCACCACAGTCAATCCTAACACCAGCAGGATAGGTTGTAACCTTTCTAGAAAGGTGCAGAGGGCACTAGAGAGGCTAGGTGCCCAACTAAACTCAGTGAAGGCAAGTGAGGTTTTGAACTTAAGGAATGGAAATGATGGGGAAAATGTTATAGTAAATAGTTCTTCCTCACTTCAAATAATGCATTCTGTTTAACCCTTTCAGCTAAAGAGATCCAGGGAGACAAAGAATAAAAAGGTCTAGGGGAGAGCAATAAAAAGGCTCCAATTATGGTTTTAAATCAAATAAAGGCTGGATAGGACACTATTAGAATGATCCTGTCAAGACTCACTGACTTGTAATTCTGTCTTCAGATGAAAAATAGTTTGCTTCCAGCTTTAAAACATGACCAATAACACATACACACATTAAGGAAAATCAGTGTTTGGTAGAGTAGACTGCTTCATATCCTTGAGATCCTGCCTGTCTAGGTTGGCCAAGATTCCGGAGATGAACTAGTTCCCAGTTGTAGCCCTGACCATGACATTCCCCAGGAGTTACAAAATTGTTTTTTTGTGTCCAGTTGCAAGTTGTGTTTTTCTTTCTCCTTTCTGCCCCACAAAGAGCTTCCTCTGACTCTGGTAAATACCACTACTTATTATTGAACTTTTACCATTTTGTCAGGCACTCTGCTAAGAATTTTATGTCTTACTTCATTTAAGTCTCATAGCAACTCCAAAGAAGAAAATAGTATCTTCATTTTACAGATGGAGAAATTGAGCCTAGGTTAATCAGTGTGCCCAACTCATCACAGTAAGCAGTGGAGTTAGAACTTAAATCCTTGCTTTTAGCTACTTTGCTTTTTTCCTTAGCTGCTGCTAAAGCACAGCTTTGGATCTTGTTTGAAGTCTGTATCATCAACAAAGTTTTCCTCTTGGTTATAGAAGGATGTGTTGTGAGTTGTCTTCTGTTAGGACAAGTGACAAATTGATTGGGTTGTAGGTATCTCCTTAGAATTGTGTTGTAGAAATGTTATAAACATTTGGACTGCTAAGAAAGCAAGGCTGTCTCTCTATTCCCAATTGGTATTCAAAAGATGCACTCCGAAACTTGATTAAATAAGGTCTGTGTGGGGGGTTAACCTTTCAGTTGAGTTTCCAACTTTCTCAGTATTGAGTTTTCTTGGTTGCTGTAAAAACTACCAATCTGAAAACAAATGTTCCTTGCTTCCCTTGAGTTAGAATTGGTGCCTGATCTACATCAGATATTCGTTCACATCCCATGGGTGATGTTTTCAAGGTGAGCAGGTCATTGGTTCTCATCCTACTGGTCGGAGATAGCCCAGTTGCTTAATGAGTTTAAATATATGTCCATTTCCATATGCTGCCCAGCTGAGATTGGGTCTGGAAAAACTCAAGAAATCTTCCAGTACTGTAAGTGATGGGACAATCGTTAAATCCCAGTGTCCTGACCAGATTGTAGTTTGGGTAATTAACATCCTTTTTTTTCAGTTCCCCTGCAGTGTTATTTGGGAATTGGATCCATAAATGGCCTCTCTGGCTGTTAAGCAGCTGCCACTTTCCACCCCCAACGTGGCTTTGTTTTACGGGTGGGTGACTCAGCCCTTGCATATAGTTTGTGGAATGGTGTGGTTAGGGAGCCTTTGGGATGAGAGTGTATGTTAGCAATTAATAAATTTGTGGTTCCCGATGGCAAAAATGCTTTTATGTTGCCCAAAAGACAACTGTCTCTTGTGGACTCAGCAAATTATTGGTAGGCTAGGACAAACTGAGTTTTGTGTTCACTCTTTAGAAACAAATAAGGGAAAGATGGGGAAAGTGACAGACATAGGCCTGACCCTGACTTAGCTTAGGTAGAACAAAACTGGGGTGTGTGTGTGTGTGTGTGTGTGTGTTCATGTATGCATGCACATGCTTGGGGAATGCCCACGTGCAGAGAGATTTACTGGAATCAGCTGGCAAAGTGGGTTTTGCCTGAGTATTAGTAGCAAAATTATCCAGAACCTTAAAGAAGAATTTTTGTTAACACTTTGTTATAATTAATGTATTCTTAGGCCATACTTACCTTAAATCTCTCTTCTTGCTTAACAGTCTGTAAATCCATATATTGTGAAGCTGTCTATTGTAGATGATGAGGCCACCCTTAATGTGAGTATCTGGATCCTTGTGTATTGTTTTAATTGTTTGCATTTGGTGGCCTTACTTTCAGTGAATATTTAGAACAGAGAGCGGAGAGCTATTGTATGCATTTCATCTAGCTATAAAGAGGGAATCAATCAGTGTTTCTTTTTAGAGCATCAGTACAATTGCCTTATCGTCTATCTTTTCATAACGGAAGGAATATTTGAGTGACTCCTCATCCAGAGAAGGTGGCTGGCTATATTTTATGTTATAGTATGTTGAGATTGGTTATTCTATAGTTAATAAATTACATCTGCAAGAATAAGAATTAGTATATTAAATCACCACCATGTACACTTTAAATATATTATAATTTTTTAAGACAAGTATACTTCAACAAAGCTGAAATTTAAAAAAAGGGGTGAGAGAGAAGCCTTCAATGACCAAATGATGGAAAGTACCTTTTTGTAGCACTAATCAGATGGTATTTATAGCCTGATTTGTAGCAGCTGAAACATGGTAGATGATATATACCTACCACATATACCTTTGAAAGTTTGGGAAATAGAATCTGATCTCTGAATACAGGAAGGAAGAAGAGGACCAGGTATATGGCTTTATTCTCTCTTAATCTTGCCATCATCACTCTACTAATTTCTCTTATTAAAAAAATCACATGTAGTTCATCCTTGTGACCTTAATTGATTTTGGTGTTACGCTTAGTAGGTTCTTGAGGAAAAGTTGATAATCACTTTAACCTTTATTCGACAAGTCTTCAGTTATAATCCTCTTTTCCTGTGGCCTGAAAGAGAGTGATTTGTCTATATACATCTTCATTAGCATGGGACTCACTGCCACTTTTACTGAGGCTGTTTTAGGGACATATGAGAGCTTTTTATTTGATCATTCTAACACATTCATGTCTTTCTTTTTTTTTTTTTTTTAAGATTTATTTATGCATTCAACAACTGGGTTAAGGCCAGAGGTGGGAGGGTGTTGAGAGGATTCACCAGAGACAGAGTGGGGAGTAGAACAGGAGGATCTACTGAAATACACTGCTGAGAGGAGCAGTGGATGAATCAGGAGAGGTCTGCCATGCCATGTGGGTCACCTCCCTGCCAGGGACTGAACTCGTGTCTGTGGCTGCAAATAGCTTCATAGTGTTATGCTTTAACCTGCTGCACCACCAAGGAGGGCCTAGTCTTGTCTTTTGAGGTGAAAATGATCCCAGTGAATTGCCAGTGATCTAGTTGGTCTGTTTTATCCCTTGTTACTTTATTTTAATTATATCTGGAAATATGAAGTAAGAGTTATATCAAAAAATATTTCAACAGAAAACAGCATTGTTGTTTTGATGCTTTGACACTGTCTCCCAGAATTTCTGTCCTTGTTGCCAACTTTTCAGGTAGAGCTTCTTGGGTTTGGGTCATAGGGATGTAATCAGTGTTTTCCCTGCCCTACTCAAAGCTTCACTACACTCAGTTTACCTGTGGTATCTTTTTCTTTTCTAGGGAATGGGACTTGTGATTGCTCAGGCTTTATCTGAGTATAATAGGTAAGTTCACGGTTTCAAATGGCAAGGATCTAATTTTCATTTTAATTGGTTGAGCAGGAACAGGTGTGTAGAGTTCCTAGGTAAACTTCCCTCACCTATCCTATTAGTACAGCTGCTGGCAGATGTATTGCTCTGGTTTGGCTTGATGACTTTAGCAAGGGTTGTTTCTAACACCAGTGGGGAAGTAGCTACTAGGTTAAATATTATTTAAGTAGTAGGCATATTCTTTTGCAATCTTGGTATTTTATTGCTAGGCATTTTAACTAGTTTTCGAGTTACAAGTAGACTCTTCCATTTTGCCCAGTATATTATGCAAATATTTTCTATGTAAAATGGTTGTGAAGCACTGCTTTATTGTGCACTTAGAAAACAGAAAAAACATAATGAATTAGCTCTTGTTCAACAGATGCTTCTTTTTCTTTTTTTTTTTTAGAAAAAGATTTATTTACATATAAGAGAACTTGGGTATAGGCCCGAGGTCCGGTGGGGCAGTGAGAGATTTCACCATAGATAGAGTGGGGAGCAGAACAGGCTGAGATATACTACCAAGGGGGCAGTGGGCGGGGTCAGGAGAGGTCTGCCACGCTGTGGGTCACCTACCTGGCCAGGTAGTTGATAGTTTCTTTTTTAAAGATTTACTTATTTATACATACAGAACTGGGGTTCAGGCCAGAGGTGCAGGGGTGGTGAGAAACTTTGCCAGAGACAGCGTGGGGAGCAGAACAAGCTGACTGATGAAGTACACTGCTGAGGGGAGCAGTGGGTGGGTCAGGAGACGTCTGCTGTGCCATGTGGGTCACCTCCAGGGCCTGGGATCAAACTTGGACTGAAGCAGCTGTGGCCAGCTTGCAGTGTTGTGTACTAACCCGTTGTGTCACCAGGGAGGGCCCTACAGATGCTCCTTTTTCATCAGAAATCAACTGCAACTTTCCAGAGTTCATGTCTTTCTGGAGGCTCTCTTCAGTGATGCTGGCTTTTCCTCTTTTAAAAATTTATTTATGTATACAAAACTGGGGTACGGGCCAGAGGTGTGCAGGGGCATTGAGAGGATTCATCAGAGATAGAGTGGGGAGCAGAATAGGAAGATTGAATACACTGCTGAGGGGAGCAGTGCCAAGACAGGAGAGGTCTGCTGCACCATGTGTGTCACCTCCCTGGGAGGGGATTGAACTTGTGTTGAAGCAGCTGCGGCAGCTTCATAATGCTTCACTTTAACTCATTGCACCACCAGGGAGTATCCTTGCTTTTCCTCTTGCTATGGATGGGAAGAATCTAGTATTTAGTGAATGGAAGAAACCACAATGTCCCTAATCCTGGCAAGGGCCAGGCAGGATCTTCCTTGCTCCTCTACAGACTTTCCTCACACAATTGGGTGTTGGAATTTCAAATCTGTTCCATTGCTACAAATAGTTTAGTTCACAGATTTCGCTCCTCTTCCTTGAAAAACAAATAAGATTTTCACTCTTAAAGCCTTAAAGTAATTTCACTGCCACACTTTTAAAGTAATAGTCTGTTTAAGAAATGCATGGATCAGCCATATGTTGGAGCAGTTTCACACTTTTGTAGTTGGCTTTCTAAGTCTCTCCCAAAGTAGCCAGGCATTTTGGTACACACACAAGAGCAGATGGGTGTCTCTTAGCTTGCAGGGGAAATGACAGTGGCTAGATTGTTATAATGCTTTTGTTTTCCAGAGCTAGTGAATTCTATGAATGCCCTGTCTTGACTAACTTGAATTGTGAGGACAAAGACATACTTAATAGTAAAGTTGAATTTAGTTATTTTTATTCAGACAGTATAAAGACAAAGAAGAAGAACACCAGAGTGGGTTTTTCTCTGCTTTAACAAATATGGTAAGTCCTACTTGTTTTTCCTCTTCTTCTTAGAAATAGATGACAAATCTAGACTCAAGTCCAGCTGTCTGAGGTGATGCCTTGATGAAGGGTGAGAAACTGCTCAGAGCAGATTTTTTTGAGAACTGTATCTCTAAATGATTTCCACACCCATGCTGCCAAGGCTGAGAAACCATGTTCTGGAACCTTGTAAACTAGACAAATCACCTTCCTAAAGAATGTACTTGATAGCCCAGACCCTAAGCTTCTACATGAGTAGCTTAGCCCCACTGCACCAATCCCTCAACTCCAGGGCCAATTACAAAGGGTTAAATGTCCACAGCAGGCAGCCAAGTAACACTGGAGGTTGAATTCAGATTAAAACTTTCCTATTCTGGTCCTCAAAAAGAAGCAACTTGTTAGGAGGTAAAGTCTGGTTTAATATGTACCTTTTTATAGCCTTTAAAAACTGATTAACTTGAAAAACTTAATCTCAGAGAAACCAGAGCTCTCCTTTTAACTATTTAACTTTGGTTGGAAATTCAACTTTTCAAATTTTAGCCAAGAAGAAAAAATTTGTACCAAATAAATGAAGTTTTAGGGTATCAGTTAGTAGGTGGAAAAGGGATATTTAGAGGGATGGGCATCTTTCTCTGTGCCTCACATATTTGAGACAGCCTGTTTCATTTACTTATTTGGTTGATCTTTCTAGAATACAAACCAGTGATTCTGTGGCCTGAAAGATGGACAATGGGTCTCATGTAGAGACCGTTTGGGCATGAGATCCAAATATTTGGTCTAAAGACAACACTATGTTGGATGAAAACTGCTTTCTGTTTTATACTTATAAGTTAGTTTCTGACTTCAAATAAGCAACTTTCAGAAAAGATGCAGAGTAAGGAGGATGTCCAGGCTAACATTTACTTATGGTCTGTCAGTGAATACTAAACTTATATATTGAAGAGGAAAGCTAGACAGAAGTACTTGGAATGTTTTTTAAGTCCATTTAAGGAAAGACAATTTAGTGGTGTTATTAGCTCATTTGTAGCGTCTAATTCTTTTAAGATCTTCAAAATTGGCTACTTTTGGTGAGTGTGATTGGTGGACTAGAGTTCCAGGTTCCCTCAAGCTGTAAGCAGCTTGGCTTTTCACCCGTGAAAGGGTTCTTAGGCCCAGAGCCCTTGTCACCATTTCCGGCATTGTCTGCAGTTCCCCTTTCCTCCCACAGGTCGGCAGTATGTTCATAGCAGATGCCCATGAGAAAATCTCAGTACAGTAAGTGTCTGACATTCTTGTGCATGACTTGAATTTTATAGTGGGCTCTCCAGATGTGAGAGTAGGAAATGTTACCTCTTTCTACCTTTTACAGATTCAAGCCTTTTTTGGTGACTTATTAAGTATTTCTTGAGTTTAAACAATAATGGACCTGTAGGGAACTCTACTTTGGTCCCATGTATTGAGCCCTAAGACGCTGAAGGATTGTTCCCACTGGTCTCTGGAATGAAAAGAAAGAGGACTCTGTATTTGCTCCTGTTAGATAGGATTAGGATGGAAAAGTGAAGGGGGGGGGGTGGTGGGAAATAGTGAACGAAATAGAGAAGAACTGATACTCAGGAATAAAAGTTAAGTTGCCTATAAACCTATTACATAAACCCAAAAAGGAAATAAAGAGCATTAGAAACTCAAAGGGTTGATAATGAAGAGGTGGGGCAAAATTTTGGCTGTTTTAACTCTCCATTGTAAGTGCATCTCCCGTTTGTCTTCTTTTTTCCTCAGAACCAATGAGGCCATCCTTCTGGCACTTTATGAAGCTGTTCATTTAAATCGTAACTTCATCACAGTATTAGCCCAGGTTAGTTATATTAAAACTCCAATCCTTTTCTCTCTAAATTTCATGCAAACTTAACCATTGAAAAGCCTGTTTAAGCCCTGCTTGCTTTGGTGAGTGGTGGTAGCATCAGGTTACATCAGTTGCCATTCCTTCATGAACTCCTCAAATATGTGTGCTCCCATGTGGTACTGGAGTGGGCAGATAACATGCAAAGCTAATGGTTCTACCAGTTTTCTAATCTGTTACCCCAAATGAATTGAGGTGACTTTATTTTGCTCACTGGAAATCCCTTGGTATTACCTGCCATATGGATTTTTAAAAAAAGATTTATTACGCACACAGATTGGGGTACAGGCCAGAGGTACAGGGGCAGTGAGAAGATTCACCAGAGACAGAGTGGGGAGCAGAACAGACAGGCTGATGAAGTATGCTGCTGAGGGGAGCAGCAGGTGGGTCAGGAGAGGTCTGCAGCATCATGTGGATCACCTCCAGTTGGTGATTGATCTCATGCTGAAGTAGCTTTAGCTTCTTAGTGCTGTGCTTTAACCCCCTAACCACCAGGGAAGGCCCACTATATGGATTTTTATATCAGGATTTCTTTCTGCTTTCTAAACCATCTTGGAAATGCAAACAGAGAGGAAATAGGCCAAGTAACTTATCTTATTATATTAGCAATTTCTAGAGAAGAAAAGTAAAAAATACCCTGCGCTGCTTAAGGCTAGCTGTTAACAGAAAATGTGGTCTACAGATGCTGAAAGTGGGATGTCACAGAGCATTGAGTGCTGGGTCGTTTGCCTCAGGGATATATCCTCAGGAACTGGCACAGAGGCAACTATTTTAGGCCAAGAACTCAAGTGTTGTTCATGAAAGCTGTCTTAAAAAATGTATAAAGCATTTTTATCTTAAAGTCAGAATAAAATGTGTTATTCAGGGTTCTTTTAAAGGAAAGCTTTCTTTTTTAAAAAAAGATTTAATGCATTCAAGAACTGGGGTGCAGGCCAGAGGTGTGTTTGTGGGGGGGGGTTTGAGAGGATTCACCAGAGAGAGTGGGGAGCAGAACAGGCAGACCCACTAAAATACACTACTGCGGAGAGCAGCAGATAGGATAGGAGAGGTCTGCTGTGTCATGTGGGTCACCTCCTTGGCCAAGAACCAAACTCATGCTGCAGTAGCTGCCTAGTTTCATAATGCTGAGACTTAACCTTTAGCACCACCAGGGAGACTCCAAGGAAAGTTTTTGTATGCTTTTCCCTCAAAGGGTAGAAAGTCTATGGAATCCACTGATTGAGTATGAACAAAAATATGATTGTGCTTAAAACACAGTGTGCTGGTTTAAGGTCTCCTAGGAGAACACTTATCATTTTTCATGATTGATAACATATAAACGACAATGTGCACTATTCTCTGTTCCTATTTTTGCTTTCCACATTGTATAACTGATTTAAAGGAAGGTAAGAGGCTAGTAAAGCTGTTGGGGAAAAGAAGGAAGTAGCTGCTACTCAGCTTAATTCTCAAGAGCTGATGTGTCTGAGATGGCTAAGGAAGGTCAGAAACAAAAGAGTCATCTACTTGGATCCCAGCAGATGCCTCCTGATGCCTCTTTATCTTACTCTTGTTTGTTGTGCTAGGAAGGCTACCAACTGTGATGCTTTTTTAATAGTAGCTGTTAGCACCTGGGCTCACCGGCATTTATTAGTAAATTGTGTGGTCATTAGGATAGTCCATAGTTGTGTTTTAGGTTGATCTGATGAGAGTAGTTCCTTCCTAGGTTCAGACAGGATGACAAAGATTTTTTTTTTGTATACTAATCCTGTGCATTTGTTTATCCTACCTTTTCATTTGTATGGCTCTGCAGAAATTAGTTGCTTAAAGGAAAGTAGCCCTCAGAGCTCCTTATTAGAACTTAGCAAGCATCAACAGTAATCAGTACTCCTGGGAACTAAATATCAAAGCAGTCCTTCAGTGAGCTTTTGGTCTCGTTATGAAGCCAGGAATACCAGAAAGTATATTAAGCAGGAGACATTCAGGTCTGGATTTTCTTTCTCTTTTTTTAAGATTTATTTATGCATACAGAACTGGGTTACAGGCCAGAGGTGTGGGGGTGAGATGATTCACCAGAGACAGAGTGGTGGTGGGACAAGAAGAACAGGCATATCCATTGAAATACACTGCTGAGGGAAGCAGCAGTGGGGGAGACTGGAGAGGTCTGCCACGCCATGTCAGCTCTCTGGCCGGGTATTGAACTCATGCTGAAGTGGTGTGGCTAGCTTCATGTTGCTGCATTTTATCCTGTTGTGCCACCAGGGAGGGCCCAGTTTTCTCTCTTTTTTAACCCACCTGTGTCCTCTTTCAGAGTCATCCAGAAATGGGCTTGGTAACAACTCCTGTCAGTCCTGCTCCAACAACCCCAGTCACCCCTCTTGGGACCACACCACCTTCTTCTGATGGTAAGCCCATCTTCACTAATATTATCTTGAACAGAACTGTGTTGACAAACAACACAGTTGTTAGTTCTTTCATTTAAGAAGTTGTCTGTCCTTTAGGACTTCAGACACTCAGAAAAAGCTTGGAAAAGATAGCTTTCTCTGTGAGAAGCTACGTACTTAAGCGTATCCTCTTCAGTGCATTCCAGGAGATCTGAAAGGGGTTTCAGTGATACCTGCACTGCCCAAGTCTCAGGGTCCTGATGAGATCCTGATGAGAGGTCCTGATGAGATATTTTATGTATATCGCACTGAAATAAATGAAAAATAGTAAGTTTACTTTATGTTATCATCTGTCAAATGAGGGAATTGAAGCCAGAGAAATAGGCATTGTGCTTAAGGTTAGTGAGTTGAGACTAAGAACCAAGACCTGGGACCGTGTCTGATTTTTTTTCACCACTATGTGCCAACAAAGTGATGGGCATATTCATTGTTAAGTAAATATTTCTCGGATAAATGAGAACGTGAACCTGGAATTTGCTCACTGCTATATGACTGCTAACCATAGAAAATGACAAACTTCGAGTGCATTCTAGCGGGAAGTTTGGTGGGTATTTAAGACTTCTCTCCTAAAAAATCTTATGGCTTATAAATCTTATGGCTGGAACATAAGAAAAAGATAACAGAAAAGAAATTGTGAATTTTGCTCAATATACTTTTTGTCTTGAGAATTGATGCTTTACCTTAAATGTTGACCTCATTTTGGGTAAAGAAGTACAGGAAGTCTAACTTGGACCCCTTTTTTTTGTCTTTTCCTACTATCTGCAAAATATCCTTTGATCTACCTTTTTTGCCTTTAAATTCATATAGCAGCTGCAGCACTGGCATCCCAAGGCGGTGCAAGCACTACTGGTGCGGAGCAAGGCTGGGATGCACCTCTCATTTCATAATTACAGTAGCAGACTGGATCTGCTTAAAATTGAAAGTCCACTTCCAAAATATCTTAATGAGAAGAAGCTAGTGGTAGGTTTGCCTACTTGCCTTTGCTTATTCAGGTTATTAAGTAATCCAATGGAAATACTGTTCTTCCTCTTTAACAGTGAAGCTGCCAGGTTACCATGGATATCAGAGACATATATGTGTGTGTATGTGTTCGGAGTTCCATGTGATGTTGGGGTTTAGATGCTTTAGAGAACTGCCTTTCAAATTGTTCATTGTGAACACTTTCCACCCACACATTTGATTATGCAATGGCAGGATTTGTGCTCACTTACTTACAACCAGTGAGCATTTTTTTCTCCTAGTGGGAAGATGGAGCCAGCCCACTTTGAAATGACTATCTTCCTTGACAAGGGTGCTGGGAGGATTATGAAGTCAAAGATCAAGGACTAACACTTACTTAGGAAGGGAATTTTAATTTGTATATGTACTGCAGAAGTGAGCATGGGAGATTTTAATTTCTGAGGAATTTTATCACTTTTTCTTTGTTCTTTTTCCTCTATCTAACTCACTTCCTTTCTGTAAGGGGTTCTTGGTATTATGACCTTGTTTTTAGATTTTGGTTTTTAATTGTAGTGTTGCTCTGTAGCCCAGTTATATTTAAAGGTATGTCACTGGAACCATTATTTTGAAAAGCTAGCAGTTTAGCGGTACCATTTGTTCTCAGCTCAGACTTGACATTTGACAATTCAGCCTTGGCATGAGAGGGCTTTTTGGTAAACTAAAAATACATATACTTCTATTTTTTTTACATATTATATAAGACAGTTTTCTAGTTATTGCTGTATATGAGTGGGAAAAAAGTCCCACTTACCAGTTAGATGCCTCTTTCTATTGGACAAAGGAGTGATTATGGGCTTGGAGTTTCAAAACAAGCTGTAGTTTGAAATGACAGTTTCAGGTCATTAACCCATAAAATGAGTTAAGAACTTTTAGTATTTCAACATAAAAATATATTCGTCTTTTATTAGTTCTTGGGGACTGAGCTGTGGGAAAAAGCCAAGGGTTGGGCATGTTAATTTCTTCTCATAAGGCTTTTTGCTGTGCTTGCTGTGTATTATGGATCCATAATATGCAAATGTTTCCCATTGTTAATAAATGTTCTCTGCATACATCATAATAACTCCAGAGGGATTCATTATAGTTATGAGTACATGTTATGAATAATATCCCAAACTCAGCTGAGTTTTATCGGTGAAAATACAGCAGAAGTCCGTAGAATCTCTAGTTTGTCTGGGCAATCGTGAGCCTCCTTTTGCTTATGTATTATGTTTTAGACAGCACTCAACAAGATATCTCAGTCCAAAGTCTTAGAAACTTGGGAAATCTACCATTATTCTGTGTGGATCACTACTGGCCTGGCTTCTCATTGTTCACTTGGACTGTGCTCAGAGAGTGGGAAGTGGGGAGTGAGGAATAGTTTCTTTTGGAAGCTGCAAATAGCTGGGTATATATACTGAGTTCCCAGGTTGTCCCAACTAATAATGTTCACTTGTTGTCTGTCTGATATTCCTTTTAGGGGGTGAATGTGAGGAATTAAGTAATGAGTAGAGTTTGAATGTAGTTCTGCCTTAACTTTTTCCCCTTCCATCTTGGTTATTTCCAGCATAATGACTTATTCTGAAAGTTAAGAAAGATTTTTCCTTATTAGGAACACAGTGTCATTTATTTTAAGCAGAGACTCATCAAAGCAAGGCTCATTTTTGTGTACTGTAGATCTTTCCCTTAAGTGCAAAGCAGAATGTCTTTAAGAAGGGTCCTTGGCCCTCCCTGGTGGGTTAAAGCATAGCACTATGAAGCTAGCCACAGCTACTTCAGCACAATTTGATCCTCAACTGGGGAGGTGACCTACATGGCACAGCAGACCTCTCCTGTCTCTTCCTCTGCTCCTCTCAGCAGTGTACTTTATCAATCTGCCTGTTCTGCTCCCCACTTTGCCTCTGGTGAATCCTCTCACCACCCCTTTGCCTCTGGCTTATACCCCAGTTCTGTATACATAAATAAATAAATCTTAAAAAAAACCTCAAAAACCTGGGCCCTCCCTGGTGGCGCAGCGGGTTAAAGCACTGCACTAAGGAGCATAAGCCACTTCCGCATGAGTTCGATCCCCGCCTGCCCCGGAGGAGACCACATGGCGAGCCAGACCTCTCCTGACCCGCCCGCTGCTTCCCTCAGCAGTGTACTTCGTCAATCTGCCTGTTCTGCTCCCCACTCTGTCTCTGGTGAAGCCTCTCACCGCCCCTGAGCCTCTGGCCTGTACCCCAGTTCTGTATGCACAAATAAATAAATAAATCTTTAAAAAAAAAAAAAAAGAAAGATAAATCTATTGGATGATTTTTAAAAAATAAAGCAGAATGAATATGCAAGATAAAATAAACACAAGCCCTGATTATAAAAACAAAATAGTGGTTACCAAAAGGCAAGGGAGAAGTTGGATGGAAATTGGGTGAAAAGGAGTCAATTTGTGTGGTGGGAGATAGATTTTTGGTAGCAGTCATTATATGGTATATATGATGCCAGAATATAAACCTAGCTACCTGAAACCTGTATAATGTTATAAACCAATGTTACTTCAATTTAAAAAATAATATAAAAATAAGGGCCCTGAATCCTTTTGGTTATTGGGAGCTCTAGTTAGAATCAGAATACCCTTTTTAGAATGTTGGGAGAAAAATGCTGTTCTTGGAAAATGATCTCCTAGGTAAGAGCTTCCAACTTATGAGTGGGAAGGACTAGGAAAAATAGAGATTTTATGGTGAGCACTTTGTCCTCCCACTGTTGTAGAAGCCTATTTAGTGACTTCCTTGCCTGCTGGCAAATTGCTTATTTAGGTGGAAGTGTTTGATGGAATGTTACAGGCTAAGTGCATTTCATCCATTCTATTTCAGTTATAAGTTCTGTGGAACTCCCACTGGATGCGGATGTACAGACCAGTAATTTGCTGATAACCTTCTTAAAGTATAGCTCAATCGTCATGCAAGATACCAAAGGTAAGGCATGCAACTTTGGGGGTTCAGATATGTCAGGCAGCTACTGAACAAGAATTAAGGAGCAGCATTAGTATTTTGAAGATTTGACAAGAGGAATCATTGGGGCCTTCTGGGTAGGGTGATGGTCCTGATTACTGGAAAACTGATTTCTCACCACCAGATGGCAATTAGGTGGTGTTGGGAAAACCTGGAGCTGGAGGGGGAATATTTCAAAATAGAACAGAAAAAAAATGGTCTCTACAAAAACTAGCAAGTCGTCTTAGCAGATTTTGGTAAGTATATGCAAACTCTTGTGTGGGAAGTGGGGGGATTAGCACACTTCAGGGAATTCCCTTTTGAGGAAAGAACTGAAAGCAGCAACTCATGGTGAGAATTAGAGGACTGTGATACAGAGTACAGTAGGAAGAGGTGAAATTCAGAGGAATTGTGTTCTTAACACTTAAAATAGAAGTGTCAATAGCCACCCCAGAGATGAAGAGTGAAAGTGGGAGAGAAATGGATATTGGAAAAGTTTGAGTTCATTTTGTCTGGCTTCCTATTCTTATTTTGTTTATGTTTTTTTTTCCTATGTTCTTTTAACTGATGGTAGGGTAGTAGAGTGATTTGTCTAGGAGTGAGGAGGAACGAGAGGAGAGCCCAGCAAATTCCATACAATTATATTTCAGTTTCTTTTTTTTTTAAGATTTATTTTATTTGTACATACAGAACTGGGGTACAGGCCAGAGGCTCAGGGGTGGTGAGAGGATTCACAGAGATAGAGTGGGGAGCAGAACAGGCAGATCTACAAAGTATACTGCTGAGGGGAGCAGCGGGCGGGTCAGGAGATATCTGCCACGCCATGTGGTCTCCTCCGGGGCAGGCGGGAATCAAACTCATGCGGAAGCGGCATTAGATTCTCAGTGCTGTGCTTTAACCCGCTGCACCACCAGGGAGGGCCTCAGTTTCTTTTTAAACTCAGCTTTATTCTTTATATTGGATGGGTATGATTGTTCACAATATTTATTTCTGTTCTTTTTAAAATGGTGGTAAAACATATATAACATAAACTTTGGAGTTTTAACTGTTTTTAAGTGTCCAATTCAGTGGCATTAAGCACAGTCACAGCGGTGTGTGACCATCACCACCCTCATCTCCAGAACTCTTCATCCTACAAAGCTAAAATGCTGTACCCATTAAAATACCCTGTTGCCCACAGCACCTCTTCTGTTTGCTGTCTATGAATTTGATTATTCCATAGTAAATTTGAAACTACTCTTTAGTTTGTATAAGTGTCATATAGGTAGTTTTTTTTTTTTTTTTTAAGATTGATTTATTTATTCATACAGAACTGGGGTACAGGCCAGAGATGCGGAAGGCGAGAGGATTCACCAGGGACAGAGTGGGGAGCAGAAACAGGCAGATCTACAAAGTATACTGCTGAGGGGAGCAGCGGGCGGGTCAGGAGATATCTGCCACGCCATGTGAGATATCTCACATTCACAGAGGATTCACAGAGAGGATTCACAGAGATAGAGTGGGGAGCAGAACAGGCAGATCTACAAAGTATACTGCTGAGGGGAGCAGCGGGCGGGTCAGGAGATATCTGCC